ACACGTTTTATCACACGCGGTGTACGAGACGAAAAGTATAATTTTTTCTTTTTTTTTTTTTTTTTTTTTTAATAAAAAGTCTGTGCGCTTTAATGACATATTACGTTAAAACGAGCAAATTAAAATATTTTAAAAAATTATAATATTTTTTTTAAGTATTTCTTATAACTGATTTTATTTGTAGATTTTGACCTATTTTCAGTTGTATTCGTATAATATTGCATAAAAATTATGTGCATTTAATTTGGTTTTACATAATTTAGATTTAGGTACATTTATATTGCGTTTTATTTGAGCGTTTCAAATATTACACGCTTGGCCAGATCTCTTTTATTGGCGAAGCAAACTCTGTTAATTCTGAAACTGATTATAAAATCAAGATTAGCGAGTCAAATTAGCTATAGTTCTCGAGTTATAGTTTCTCTTCGTCTTCTTACCGTGAGATTTAGCACGGTTAGGTATACGGTATTGTCATCTGTTATTCACCCGTTGCAAGCATATGATGCATAGTCTAGTTCTTCTAAAATTCTGAGAACCTAATGGTATCGTAAAAGATGCTTGTCTTGAAAGAACACGGCTAGTAACAATAAAATTGATGTTACTAGGTAGCGGAAGATTATCATTGCTCTTTCCTAAAAGCTGGCTTAAGATGAGATAAACTGGCACGATGAATCGCCGACAAGGTCTGATCCGGTTTGTTTTAATATTTCAACATCGCCGCATGCCAGTTCCTTTTGTGCTTCAAAGAAAGAAAGAGCGGTGTACACTTAACATTTGAATGCGTTCATGGAACCGGCCTTGAGGCTCATTCACCGCCCGCACGACCTTATAATCTACATTCTCTTTTGACGACGAAGGTAAAATGTAAACATCTTCCTATTCTTTAGTTGTATACAAAACTCAAGTCGTGCGGAAGAAAGCGGGATGAAAGAAAGTGAGCAGACCGTGTGGCGAATTTCATTTTCACTTTCTTTCAGATAATAATACAGGAAGCTGATTTCTCACTTCCATCATAATGTTTCCAATTATAGCATGAAATCGTTCTAAACGTTCATTCTCTTGTGTCCCTCTTCATAGATAAATACATCTTTCTTTATACAAATCGTTACCTCATTATCTTTAAAAAGAATCTAACATAAATCTGTTCGTCTTCTCGTTACGGAAATTGATAAATCAATTTTTATTTTAGGATTATTCTATATACTTAATTAATTGCTCAAGTATCTATTCATAAGGTAGTGAAGATAATCTTTATTAGTATAGAATAGAGGCTTATGTATTGTGTGCCTCTGTCAATTATTTTCTGAAGTTCCGTGAATACTAGTGACTTGGGAAACAGCTGAGCCATCTGTTCTGTGTCATTGGTTAACTATGGTCATTTTGAAAAGCTTTAGAAGATAATCGAAAGAAACGTAATTTACAATACTGAGTGTGGACTTATGAAGCATGCCTTACATTTTAATGGTCCATTTGGTAGTATTAAATGCGATTATAATTATAGCCATACGGCATAATCATCTTCAGAGTTGTTACGTCATTATAATATCCTAGCTTTCATAATATCGTAATATATTCGATTTTATGATATAAGCTAATATCATTATTGGAGATGACTCCTCAATTATCAATATAATTAATTTTATTGTAAAATTAAATATCGATTTACATATTATAGATTTCACATATAGATAATCATTGACATCTAATACTCGTTGAAATCTCCTAGGATTTCGTGGAATATTCCCGGGAATATAGTAATCGTTCCATTCGTTGAAGTCTCCGCGAGACTTCGGGAGACTTCGATGAACGCAATGTAGCGTTCTCGTATAAAATATATGTAAATATAGTATATAACGCATCATGCGATCTTTAATTTGATAACAAAGACAGCAAATATGTATCACCCAACATCGCATTTATTAGTAATATGTGTGTATATAAGTATTAATAAAGATAAGATAATTACACCTGCAATATAATTATAAGTAGTACTCGTATAATTAGTATATTTTAATTTAATCGTCCGCTTAACATTTTTTCATTATTAATGAATAACTTTCTTCCACAATTTTCTTCGTAAGCAAAGCACTGAGAAGTTGGCTTTTATGTAAATCTCACGTTGCTCAAGGATATCGGTTGCGCCATTATTCGTACAAGTATTCACATGATATGATATTTTCGTTGATAATTTCCTATATCTTTAACATTTTACTGGTCAGTATATTTTCTTGCCATCCTAATTATGACCTAGTTCACAAGTTAGAGGCCGTACTTGTAACAGAAAATATCGGGGGTTATATCAACCATTGGGAAGCTTATGACCGATATTTTTCTTTTCTGCGCGCATGAAAGAGAATCCAAGTTCTTCTTCTTGATATTACCGGCTTACGTTATTGCATTTAGTTGTCTTAAATATGAACCTTCTTATAACATAAATCAGCAGACTTGTAATTGGCACAGTGCATCGAAAAAGAATATTTGTTTTTTACTCGATCAAGAATTATAAAGCGGACTGATAATACATGATAAATAGAACATCGGAAGCTATTTTCGTTGTATATGTTTGATTGTTCAAATAAATGTTCTGATATCGACAGTACAATTAAAATTTAGATCCGCTATATTTCTGAGCTGTATTTTCGATTGGATTGTTTAACCAGATCGTCATTTTTATGAGACATTTCGTGATCGCAGGTCAACCGAAAATGTCGTTAGTGCGGCCATAATTCGTTCTAGTCATGTGCGATTGTTTTCGCTCGATCGCTCGGCGATTCATGAGGATATGATATGTCTGATAAAGCGAGGTTATTGCTGTAATCTAAATATGGAATTGCACTTACGAGATAAAATCGAAAATCACGATGTCGATGCAAACCATGCACGTCGGAGATTAGATTTCCGCGCTCCACTTAATTTCGAAAATGATTTCTTACGAAATATGCCGACTTAGCGGAACCTTTCTATCATAAAAGCGTGCTGAGACCAGCGTGATGAAATTTCACAAGTACGTTACATTGATAATCCCAACTGCTGAGAGACACCGCCGGCCGCTATCTTCGGGTTTATGACTCGAGGGTTAACGGTTTTTTCGTGTTAACAGTTTTCATCTTCCTATATTACTAAATTGAGAAAAATGTACACTTAATCGTATATATAACACTTCTTACAAGAGCATGCCTGATGAATGTTAATAAGCGACGGCGCCCGCGCTAACTCAATTTCAAGTTTCTTATCAGCACAATCATTTATTCTCTTGTTTGCGTAATTATCGCTCATTAAGCGGGACGCAGCTTGTAGCATTAATATGTTGCGTAGAGCCCGAAGAAATCCGTGGCACACATCTCAGTACCATATTTCTTCGGGCTATTACGTCGATTATCATTACTTCTATGTAGAAGTCTTTAATTATAAAGTGTTTTATATATAGCGCTATCTACTCCCGTTCTATCACGAATATTGTCCCGAGGCTACTATACGAGAATAACCTCGATTCGATACCTCGAGGCTATCAATCGTGTGAGGACTTTAATTCGTTCGCTCTTCGTCCGTTGCATAAAGATGATAGGCTCATCGTATGAAAGATTCCGCGAACTCTGCGCTCTTCTCGCACATTCTACTCCTCCAGCGACGGAGGGAAAAGCGCGGAATGTCTCGGAATTAATTGAAATCAGCATAACTCGGCGCCGAGACGCGCGTTCCTTCGTGCGAAACGACGACACGACGATTAATGGCTGGGATCATTTCATTCATCGTTCTCTCCTCGCGCGCGGGGAAGTAACGCAAAGCGTGATGGTAAAGGTCAATGCCAATCGCCGTCGATGCGGCAAGCCCCTAACTTCGGAGGGAAGAATGTGATTTTTATCGACGATCAGCCGGCACATGCGGCGCATTCTCCGCGCGTTTATTTACAGGGTACTAATTAGTGCCCAACTAACGGGACAGATAGAATTATTAATATTCTGCGCCGACTATCGTCGTGTAACGTGCTTTCACGTCCACCTAATTCGTTTGACTGCGAATATTTCGTCACGAAATCGTGTTTCCGAAACAAATTGCCTCTGTAAATGCGAGCATGCTCGTGAAATTTCACAGTCAATTTGCCGTGATAATCCAAATGTTTGAACGCGCAATCTTACTATCAGTAAGTATTATGTCGATCTTAACCAGAGTATACTGGAACAATACGAAATTGTAAAGATCGTAGATCGAGACAAAGACAGTGATCTTTTACGCAAATGCATAAACTTTCGTCCGGTGTGAACAGCAGAACTAAATATAAATCCATCTTCTTTATGCAACACCATATTCTCGTATTCTCTTTTCTACTCGTTTAATAGCACATGATTACTCGTTGTGAATGTTTGGCCACACCTGCGCGTTTATATCCGAGTTCGTTCCCATGTTCGCTTACGTGATGGTAAGCTTCGTCGCACGACTCCCTCCAAGGCAGATGAGGGAGACGTCGTAAGAACCTTGGTATATTATATCAGATAGAAATATGCATTTCCGTTACTCAGAGAATCAAGTGATATTAACGGACTGAACAAGTATAAGAAAACTTATACTTTATACTATAATACATTAAAAATATTTTGCGTACGTGTGTAATTTGTTTCTGTAAATTATATATTGAGTATTCTCGTTTGAAAATTGATAGGTACAGCACACTTACTAGAAAAAAAATCTGTTGCAACAAATTATGATAGTTTTCTTTTCAAATTTTAATTTTACATAGATCTTATCGAATTGCTGCTAAATTTTAAAGTAAAATGTAAAATATTTAATTATATTTAATTATTTTGTTTCAAACACATTAATTACATTGATAGATTGATTAAGAGACGTATTAATCTAATTGTTTATACAAGAAGAATTTGTAGACGCTGATAAAAAGCAAAATATTTTTAATACCAATGCTTCTTAAAATAAAATATATTACAATTTTGTAATGTATTTGTTGCACGTGCAGTAAATCTTTAGCTGTTTAGTTCGTCCACTGCATGCCACAAACTGCGTACATACCGGGACCGAGTTTTTTCAAGTATCCTTACAGTTACGCTCTGCACAGATCTGCCTCGTCCTCGATGAAAGAAATGCTCGGTCGTTTAATTTCGAAGACGACAACAAAGACGAAGCCGAGGACAAGATGGTATCGATCGCAATTACCGGCGCACAGACAAAACGAGATGCGGTTCTCTCATGAGGAGAACGCGGAACACAGCCAAGAACAGATGTCGTTCCAAGGAATGTCAGCTAGCTGCTTGTTCTACGGAATATGGCATTCAGTTCTTCTCTATTCCATCATTATCGAATTTTTTATTATACTTGTTAGCTTTTATAATTATCATTAGTTTATTTTATGTAATATTTTTTATATGTTTTATTTAAATAATAATAACAACAACTTATTGAAGTGTAAAATACGGAAAATGTTTGACATATGGATAAAATAATAGAGAATAGTTCCTCAAAAGGTGAAACATCAGCAATAACGCTACTTGTGATCTTAAATCTTCGATATACTTAATATACATAAATATACATCTCTCTTTCTAATTTTAAAGTTATTATCAAATTAATACAATATTTTAACAGTAATATACTTTATTTTGTTTCACAAGTTATATCTCGTCCATACGTATGTACCTATATAAATGGTTTATCTTGTAAATCTCTGATAATCGAAATAAGTAACTGAAAATCCTGAGAACGATAGACTCGCATATTTTATAAAAGAAACTTGTATCGTATCTATAACGGTAATAAAATCGATTTCAAGCGTTATACGATACTCCGCATGTTACACTAATCATATTTATGCATTAATTTAATTAATATGTCTTGCAACTTCGTCGTTGGTCGTAATTTCTGATAAATCTTGTAAAGACTTTGCGAAATGGAATATATCAAAATGCTATCAGAGAGAAAGTGCACTCTACGCTGCAGATTTCTTCGGTGAACCGATACAGCCTAGTGAGTGGGCGAATTTTCGATTAATCGATTAACCAATGCGATACGCTATGTGAATATACATTTTGCCAGGAGTTTCACTGATTGTCAAACATCGGCGATATAACACTTATACAACTGCAAGAAATGTGGCACACAGGCATACAAGCGAGAAAAAGAAGTGCAAAGTAACAATATCTTGTAATATTAATGTACCATGTAGAATCCGTGGGTAGAAAAAGAAAAAAGGATTCGCGAATCTTGTAACATGTATCGCTTCTTATTCTGCTTTTTCATTCGTCGGAGGGCGAATCAATCCTTATAATTAACAGTACATGTTGGCAGTTCCTTTATGTATTCGGAGTACAAAATGCAATAACACCTGGAGCATTAACTGGCACATGCGTCGTGCCAATGACCCGCTTCGTCAGTAACATAAACGGCCGTTCGTGTCCGACCGCGCTAAAATTCCGTACGCTTCGTTTAAAGTAACTTTACACGCAATCAAACCCCAATTCATCCTACGACGAGAACTTATTGGACGGATCTCGCCTCGGGTCAAACTCTTCTGCCAAATATTTCTGCTGGGTCACCCTGATGCCTCCTCGTGCACGGTCTACACTCCTCTCTCCGACAATGTAACGCGAGTTATGTCCGCACTGTCGTGCACGTTACGTGGCCACGAACATACGCATATGGCTATCGATTCTACGTATCCGCGTCGGTGATAAAGTTGCAGGAATAAGTATTTATCTTCATGCTTAAAGCATCCCTCTCTCTCTCTCTCTCCCTCTCTCTCTCTCTTTTCTCCCCATTTCTCTTTTAGGTCGGCGTCCTGCCGCGAGAAAGAAGGTCCTGCGGGCTGCAGGCTCGCTCCCATCGCCGCGATAAATCGCCGTTCATTCTCGCGCGAGCGAATCGTCGAGCGAGGCAACAATGAGCCCGGTAACTTCCCCGGGTGGATAGGGACAGGGAGAGGGAACGTATAGGGAACAAAGAGAGAAAAGCACGCGAATGTATACGTATCTGATAGTTCGACCGTGAGTTATTAGTATATAGCGTATACCGTCGTAAAGGAGCGCAAAACCCGCCTTTACGCCGCGGACCTTGAAATAGTGGCGTATACACACTACTCGAGTAGATCCGACGATAGCTGCAAGAAACGACGTGAAATTACGGCGAGAGACTCTTTGCGGCGATTTTAATGGAAAGCTCCCGGACGCGCGGCTCGATAGCGTTTTTTTTTTTTTTCCCCCTCTAGCGTTAATCGTTATTTTAGTATCACCGAGGACCTGCTAAACCTCCTTTCCCACCACCGCGATATAAGTAATCTTCTAATTGCGAATTTCCATGCACCGGATGCCCTGTCAAACAAATTATTCCGAACCGCGGTATAAGTAATCTTCTAATTGCGAATTTCCATGCACCGGATGCCCTGTCAAACAAATTATTCCGAGCTTATCGACTGACCGATCGAGCACGATCCTTCGGAAGTAAATTATGACGGAACATGGTTTAAGCTTTGATCATCTTGATCCATCGTGATCAAGTTTTTGCGCCGACAACAAATAAGCTATGTATTCAATACTTTTTACGCACCCTCGCGCCTCTCTATTTGCGATCCTCTCTTATGCGCGTGAATTCGCTGTACTGATTATACGCAAACACACACTCTCAACACGCGTCCGGTAAAAGTACAAGTTCATTGTCGCAGGAAGGACGATGGAAACGCTCGATTAATCGGACCGGCGTTATACCGGTGGCTACTAAACCGGCCTGGCTTCTCGCGCATCGATTATGCCAAGCCTGCGTCGCGCAGGTGCGCAGTCCAGGTATTCCGTTGGTCTGTTTGTTCCTCTTATATCCGCGACAGGAACCGAATCACTCATGGATTCCTTTCTTCTACGCGTCGGATGCGTTTTGTCCCTGAGGAATGAGATATCGCGGCGATTTCTCCGCGAGATTTTTTTCGTTTTCGTGATGGACGGAAATGGGTAGCGGTTAACGAAGCTCGCCGATTGCTTATGCGTCCAGCTACGATCGATGAACTAGATGTCGGACGAGAGTGGAAGTATTCACTCACATTCCTTTCTAAAGGACTAGTCGGACCAATTCCACGTGACTGATAAGTAAAAACTGGAGCATACACTCATGCTTATATGATGTGTTTTTCAAGATACTATTATTCAACTGTTTTTAATACAAATTGATGAAAGTTAATTTTAACGATAAATATCGACAAATATATCTTAACACACATATCTTAAATTAGCATATACATCTTAAATTAATAATAATTATTGTAACATATGTTTGATCATCTATCGCCATTGAAAAGATTGCTAGTAATCAAGCATAATCCATCATTATTATTACATTACCATTGAATTTAAATTGAAAGTGTCACTTGTCACTTTTACAGTACACGCTGAGAATAATAATGATTGGATTGGATTTCTGGAGCAGCACGTGTCATCTTGTTGAGACAACGAAAGAAGTGTCGCCGCCTCATACGGTTCGAATGTCATCGTCGTCACCCTTTGATGGACTGTTTCTTTTGATGGTTCTGACCGTACAAGGTTCGAAAGACTTCGAGCTAAATCGAGAAAGAGATATATGTACAGACAATCACATTCTTGGCCTTGCATGGCGACAGCAGCTTTTTGAATCCACAATCACCTTTTAAACGCATTTAATCTCTAATTGATGAATCGCGAATTTTTTTTCGAATACGGAACTTTTTCGATAATTAACTCGAATAGAATTACGTGTATAAGATATCATTCAAAATATTTTCTGCTATCACTATAAATTTTGCAAACATTTTTTATTTATTTCAAAGCATTAATAAAATTTGTAATAATGTAAAAATCTATCTATATATTGTGTAATAATTAATAATTTGCATTACTTTCATCATGGACTTCCTTCCCTTCGCTTTATTTCTACCATTTTCATTCTCATATTTCGCCATTTCATATTTTCTTCGAGGTATTTTCTTACCGAGTATTACAGCTTCTCATTTTGCAACGTTACTCGATCGTTTGTTCAAAGACAGATCTGGTAAATGTTTGAAAGATCTGATAAGCAGATAGTATGCCAACAAGATATTTGGCGGCTGAAATCGATACAATCCTATTAAAGTCGACGCACTCCGATTGCCTTTTTCCATAAGACTGCCTTAGCTGATGACATCTGGCCGACGGTCAGGAATGCCGAGCAATAACCGGTCCCTCTCGATACTTACAGAGCGGTATTTCTGCCTAGGTGAAATTCCTGGACAACAAGCGCACGTCCCTTGTCGGGATATCGCGGGTCTCATTTTTGACATTTCCCATAAACCGTATTTACGATTATTTTATTCGTGGAAATGGCTAAGGCTCTTAAATTCTACAAGCACGGTCACTATCGGGGACGATCATTTGCAACTGATAAGACGCGTGTACATACGTAACTGCTGTTCTGTTTCTATAGCAATCACGATCGTTTGTTTCGTACATGGGACTTTGACATATTTTGCAGTGTAATTTACTCTTCCTTTGTCGTCCCTGTTTAAAGTCGTACGGTCACTCTAACATCCGCCTTGTCTCATCGGGATGATACGACTCGGCGTTGTTTATGTTTCTTCGCTTTAGGTCAAAAGATTAGTTTTCCTTGGAGCATAAAGAGCGGGACTCTCGCTGACCTCCTGTCGTCACACCTGCGTTGTTCCCGGAAGCGGACAGGTGGGATGCAAATTATTCAATTAACGCCCGAACCTCGGGGCGCGTGGTGGTTGTTTGCGAATCACGGTATACCGCTCTTTACAACGCTGCTCGATTCGTCGAGAGAGAGAGAGAGACAGAGCAAAGAAGATGGACATGCGGAGAATGCTCTTTGAAGTGATGGCAGATAGCATTGACATTTTAATTGGCAGATCGTCTCTAGCACCGCATAGTGTAGAGATAACTTTACGACGACTGTTGTTTATCTCACGTCGTGATTGTCGTCGTTGTCGCCGTCGCCGCCATTAAGAGACGTGAGGAAATCAATTCACATTTTTCATTCGTATGGATAATAATAATTAGAACGGCCGAGATTTATAAACACGATGCACTCGATGCGTTATATCTGCAGAGAAAGCGGATGCGTGAGGAAGACGTCGTGGTGTACACGATTCGCGGCGTCTCATTTCGTCGAACGTGATTCTACCAAGTTGTATAAATCAGCGCATTAAGCGATTTAATCGCCGTTAATTAAATTACAACGTACAACAGGCAATGTGAGCACCGCGTTACCGTTACTCGGATCACTGGATAT